TAGCGCACATGTGTGTGGCGTCATCGAAAAATGTCTGGCATTGTGAGGTCTGAAAAAGGTAAGTTAGTTAATGAAAATAAGGGTTGTTTTAAGGGCAAATCCTTGTCCGAAAATTTGGAAAATTAATTTCCTTTTGCACAAAATAATTAGTTTTTCACTCATCTTAAAGTGTCTGGCAGTTGATGCAAAAATAGACATTAATAAGTACCTAACAATTTTCAATTGCCAGACGGTTTTAAATAGCCGAAAGGGTGGTTGATAGGGGTGAACTTACAAGAAAAAAAAAATTAGCGTTTACTTTTTGTCTGGCAATCAAAACAATGAATATTTTTGTTATGAAATTGATAAAAATAAATTGTCAGGTTTCCAATGTTCGGAGTCGAGTTTCTCTGTGGAAAATTGTGTGAAAATTTTTAACATTTTTCAGTGATCACTATTTGTCTGGTATCTGGGGTTCTTAAAATTAATACCCATATTTCTTGTCACAAAAAATTTGCCAGACAAAATGGAAAATGAAAAAATTGATTGTGCCACACAAAAGAAATTTCGTAAAAAATATATTAAAGTTTAAATGATTTATTTTTGTCTAGCATTTTGAATTTCAATTAGAAATATGTGTATAAAATAGACACAATGTACAAATGCCAGACAAGTTGAGATGTTCGAAAATGTATAAATGAAAAGTTACAAAAAAATTTATGAAAACTTGGTTTTCTTTTTTTCTAATTTAAATGATTTATTTTTGTCTGGCATTTTGCATTACTATTGAAAATACATATTTATACTTCAGGTTAAATCGCCAGATAAGTTGGGTTGTTCGAAAATTAAAAAAAAATTAAATTAAATTAAATAGTTGTAAAAAAATTAATGTCTTCAGTGTCTTTTTTTTGTCTGGCACTTCGTTTTGTAATAAAAAATACACTTACAAACCCAAATTAAAAATGCCGGACAAGTTGGGCTGTTCGAAAATATATAAATAAATAAACAAAGTGGTAAAAAAATACAATTTTTCATTTTTTTTTCGACTTTTTCCATTTATATTATAAGCTATAATTACTCGGGAAACATACGCAAGATATTTACTATTTCCGACGTAAATATTCCTAATGAATCTGATGCTGTCAACGGAAGTGACTTACCTAGCCAAGAAAAGCTGGAAAATAGAAAAAAACTTCGTAAATTTAAAAAATTCACATTTTAAATCATATTTGAATTAAGAAATAAAATTGCAGGAAAATGTTATTCAAAACATGAACTTCAAATAAATAAAAGGTGATTATTACAAGATGTTAATTTTTTACAACTATTTAATTTAATTTATTTTTTTTTAATTTTCGAATAACCCAACTTTTAACCTAAGTATAAATATGTATTTTTAATAGAAATGCAAAATGCCAGACAAAAATAAATCATTTAAACTTTAATGTATTTTTTACGAATTTTCTTTTGTCTGGTACAATTTTTCCATTTTCCATTTTGTCTGGTAAACTTCGAACATTGGAAACCGTCTGGCAATTTATTTTTGTCATTTTCATAACAAACATTTTCATTGTTTCGATTCACCCCTATCAACCACCCTTTCGGCTATTTAAAACCGTCTGGCATTTGAAAATTGTTAGGTACTTATTAATGTCTATTTTTGCATCAACTTCCAGGCACTTTAAGATGAGTGAAAAACTAATTATTTTACGCAAAAGGAAATTAATTTTCCAATTTTTCGAACACGGATCGGCCCTTAAAACCACCCTTATTTTCATTAACTAACTTACCTTTTTCAGACCTCAAAATGCCAGACATTTTTCGATGACGCCACACCCTTGTGCGCTAGCTTACGGTCTATATATGGTTAAGACAAAGAAAATTTAAATAAATATACACAATAACAGTGCATAACCATCCAAGAAATTTATCATATTATTTTTTTATATAGAACTGTCTCGTTTTTCTAAATTGTACAAGGAAATTATTTTTTCATTGTCCATTTTCGTGAAAAAAAAAAAATGATTTTTGGACCGCGAACAACATTAAGCGTCATAAATAATCAAGTCTATAGGAAACGTGACAGCCATTGAAATAAATAAAATTTCACATCACTCCATGTCACATTTTTTAAAACACTTCCTTAATTTTATTTCAATTAAGTATCTGTTTAGTAAAAATGAGAAATAATATTATCTATCTACTACGGCATTCATAATAACCTGTTACCCTTGCTAATTAACATTATAACACCCTTGATACATAAATATTATAACGGAGCGATTTTGTTGGTATGCAGGGTGTTTTATAAATCCACGTCATAACTCGAGTTGGTTGTTGCTCGGATCATTTTAGACCAAGAGGTCTTAATGTTGTGACAACTTTGCTTCAAATTGTAGCAATGTTCTCTACAGCTTAAATAACAATTTAAATGCTGTTTAATCTTGCCCTTATTTCATAATCGTTTTATGAAGGATGTTTAGAGACAATTAGTTGTAAAAGAAGGATATTTGGAAACAAAATTTCTAGATTATACAGGCTGTTACAAATTCGCTTCTCACGACAGGGATCTCGGAAACGGTAAGAGATACGAAGTTTATATGGGGCCAAAATTTCGCTTTTTTCAAATATTTCGAAAACTAATAAAAAATCAAGGCTAACATGATTTTTTAGAAGCATAATGTTGGTCCCCAGATTCCGCAACTTTGTCCCCATTTAAGCTAGTTCGTATCTCTTACCGTTTCCGAGATCCCTGTAGTGAGAAGCGAATTTGTAACACCCTAAATTACTTAAACACGATTTATCCACTATTCTTTATAAAAATGTTCCTTCAATAAACAAAAGTAATATTACAAGGGTTCTGTAAAGTTAATAATAAAAACATTGGAAAACAATAAATACAGGGGACATTAGACATATTTCATATTCTCAACTAAGCTAATAGAAGTCAAGTAGTAAAAATTAATAATGAAATATCTTACAATATGTATACCGCAAGGTTCGGTATTGGGACCCTTGTTATTTTTAATTTATAATAATGATATGGCTTGTATGCCGATGATACCACCATTTCTATCAGATCTAAAGATATAATTGATGTAGAGGCTCGAAAAAATGAAGCTCAATCAGGAGCAGAAAAGTGGTTTGCTTGCAATAATCTCATATGTAACAGAAATAAAACACAACGAATGATGCTTACGCTGCGTGATTATGATGTTTCCGATGATGAAGTACCCGCTGCAAAATTCTTGGGTGTCCTTTTGGATCCCCATCTGGGTGGAATATCCACATAGATGGGATTTGTAAAAACTGAGTAATGGTGTATTTGTTGTTCGTAATCTCTCAGGTTCTGTGTCCACTAGTGTATTGAGATCTGTCTACTTCTCCTTGTACCAATCAATTATGAGTTATAGCTGTTTTACATTGACAATCTATTCATGAATAAATTGACGAAGTTCTTCATGAATTAATTCACGAATTTACTGGTAAACAGTGGTTTTACACTGCTACAGATTTTGTTAAGTTTTTTGACGTATGAATCAGTTCTACCAATGAATCAAAGAAGCAAATACATTTCAAAACCGTCACCTTTCCACTCATAAATATAAATATTAGTTTTTGTAAGTAACAAATCAGTAAAAACAATGCAAAACTAGTACGACACCACACATTTATTTACATATTCCAATAACATAACCTCATTACTGATCTGAGGCTGGAAATCTGTTGGATTGATACTTCTGAATTTCACGAAGAAATTGACGAAAATTAGAACATGCTCTAATTTGTCAAGAACTTGATGAATAAATTCATGAAGTTATTTGACAGCAGATTTGGTGCATTACACTTGTCCAATTTCTTGATGAAGCGACTTCATGAATTAATTGATCAATAAATTGTCAATGTAAAACGTAAAACAGCTATATGCAATAAAATAGTCTGGGGTCATGCCGCAGATTTTGATAAAGTATTTGCAATTCAAAGAAAATTAATTAGAATCATAGCTGGACTGGGTTATATGGATGATTGTAAAAATGCATTCATCACATATCAAATATTAACTTTACCCTCATTGTATATTTTGGAATGCCTGACATACGTTAAATCAAACTTAGACAGCTGTCCCACCTATGCAAACCAACACAGTTACGATACAAGAAACAAAGATAATATAATAACTCCATACTATAGGCTAAATAAAACACATAACACCCCCAATTATCTGGCGATTTTGAAGTATAATCGGTGAAGAGGTTTCTCCTGGGGTAGGCATTTTACCCATATAGGGAATTCTTCTCATATGTAATGATTTACACTTTATTAGCTGAGCATGATTATGTGTGATCTAGAGTTTGTTTCTTGTGTGACGTCTGTTATATTTTGTGATGCGCAGATGTCTGTGCCTGCTGTCATACATTGGCGTCCACCTAACGCTTCCGGTTATACCGGAAATTGACGTCATCTTCGTTATTTTAAATGGAACACCCTGTATATTATTGCAATTTTGGATTCTACGTCAATTTTTAGGAGAACTTTCATAAGGGTTTCCTATTCTTAAAGTTAAACGTTTTTGATATATATTTTTTCAAATATGTCTAATGTTTCGTCACCGTGCGACACCCTGTTTAAAATATGATGAAGGGTGCTGAATATTTAAAGAAATACAAATTTTCAGTAGTTTTATTATAATCAGCTAGACCACGAGTGCTACGATTTAGCAAGCGATGGTTTTAAAAACAGTTCTTAGGATAGTCCTGTGGGATTTTAACAAACCTAAATTTTTAATTGGGACTTGCTTGAACATCTTCGACAATTTCAGTCCGTGCAGCGGAAAATTCGATTCTAAAACTAGTATTACACAATTTCCACCCTCGGCTCGTCTTGATAGGAAAAGCTTTCACTGGTATCGTAACGAACGCGACCAGGTGTCATTGTTGGGATTCTTGGGGAACTCTGAGGTCAAGGTGAGGAAGACGGTGCTGGTGCTGTAGTAATTACTGTTTGTCTTTATGTGTGACCGACCCCACCTTTCTATATATACGGAAGATTGTTTATTTCTGAGTTAGTGTACCGACAAAGTTTCAGCGGTAAGTTCCATTTTTTTTAAGTCAGTGAAGTGAGTTAATTGAAAGTAAGTGGACGATTTTTCTTTTTATATATGATGTTTACTTAAATATTATCACTTTTAAATTTTATATAAATTAAATTGAGAATGAAAATTTGTTAGTGGTGTTTGTACAAGTTAAAAGACTATACATAAAATTAAACAAATATAATTTGAGTTGCAATCATTGCTTCACGGATTTCTTGTAAAGCGTAATTTTAAAAATTTTAAAATATAATGTTGAGAATAGCAATAATAATTATAAAGTTAAATTTGTTACCTAATATGAGAATGTATAGATTTATATTTTACATATATTTAGCAATAACTTCAACAAATTTTTTATCAAACCAAAGAATTTTTGGAATCTTGTTTTATGTAACTCGTTTTACAATTAATCAAAACATTTTTATCTAAAAGACAACAAATCTAGTCTCCAAAGAATCATAACCCATGTAATATTTAGGTAGGTACATTATTGTTATTCAATATTAGAATATTGGAAACATCCAGACTATATTCATTTGAAGTTATTACAGTTGTTTTTGTGAGTATAATTTTCAAATTTTAATCTATTGTCCTTACTTATTGCATATTTGATAAAACAGTGTGCCTATTATTCTTGAGCCAAACCATTTGAATCTTGGTTAAAGTAAGATGTTTCGTTTTTATTTTTTAATCGAAAACAGAAATACCTACTCATTTTTAGATAGAATGCTTCGAAAAAAGAAAGACAATGTCAATATTTAGATAATTAAAAATGTAATTTTCTCTCGAAGCATTAATTGAAAGAATTGTTTCATGTAAAAATTGTATTTTTAATTATTTAAACTTTGATGTTGTCGATCGATGAAAATTTAACTGAACTGTCAAAATTTTGTTTAAAGTTATAGTTGGATGTTTTGTTTTCAATGCAAACTTCGAAAAATGGATAATGGTATTTTGATGAAAACAAAAAAAGTAAACCACATCATTTGAAACATCATCCTAATCAGGAAAATGCGCTGAAATTTAAAATACTTAAAGCTAATAGGGCACCCATAAGAAAACAAATATTAAATCGATCTTGTAGCTCTATTTGATTTATGAAATACTTTTCTTTATTTTGTATGATTTTCAATAAAATAAACTGTTTTTCATTATTTTTACAATTTTTATAAAAACGTTATGAATCAAAATAATTTTTTTGTGAATTTCTCAGAATAATTTTTTAACTTTGTGTAAATTGAAACCCGCTAGATGATTTTTTGTTAATTATTAGTCGATGTAATTTTAGTAACATTATCTCTAATAATTGTTTTTGTTATTTTTTTTAACTTCGCAGCTGTTATACCTGTCATTAAGTAATGCGATTCCTTAATTTTGCATATAGCCTCGATTTTAAAATAATTTCACGAAATGGCCTTCGATAATTTCAAAACCACAATCAGCAATTCAGAATTAATGATTATGTATTTATATTATTGCCTAAAGAGTTAATATAATTTTAATTCAATTCAAGCAATTAATGAAATGATAAACGAGAATCATAAAATAAAACGTTATTGGGTTGCGTTTGGAAAATAATTAGCTGCAGACAAATAATAGCTATATTTTTTGTAGTCATTGTAGGTACTACAGTAAATTTAATTGAACTCAATAATATCCTTTTATAAGAAAAAAACAGTAAAATAAACATGTGCCGGAATAAATTTATATGGTGGGTTAATTTTCCTCAGTTTTAAAATGTTTTATCCGCACTTGGGTATATACATAGAATGATATAAACAATATCTGTAGTCGTAAAGATTTTAGAGAATTATGCGATATACAGGGTGGTCTTAAATTGTCTCCCTTTTTTGTTTTGTATATAAAAATTTGTATAAAAATACATCCTTATTTTTTATGTAGGTTTTGGTGTTACACATTTTAAAATAATTAACGAGATAATTTAAAACGATCCTTTGTGAAAAAACATTTTTTCTAGATAAATAATTCGTTTAGTGTAATAGGAATACATTTTTCAAGGTTTTATTCCGAGGTTATTTAATACTAGAATATTTTTAATGTAAATAAACCAAACAGTATTTTTATAAATAAACACAAAGCACAAACAAGTTCGAACGTTTTGCTAATAACTCTTGGACGATTTATGGGTAACCATAGAGAATATTTTATTTTCATATTTTTTTTCTCTTGTTTTTTTATTGTAGAAACTGTCGGCTAATATATTAATAAATACAATTTTACACTGCATTTTTTTGCAGAACCGTTGTATTCACACTCTTTGATTTTTAGATTCAAGATGAAAACCTTTTTGGTGCTGTCAATCGCCCTTTTTGGTGCGGCAGTCGCTCAGTTCCCAAATGGGCGAATTCTGGAACCCCCAGTACCAGCCCTTTGCGCCCAGAGGGTGATTCACGACAGAACTCCAGACGGTAAGTCTAAATGCACTAAATGCATCCAATTTGGGACACTTTGTTAGAGAAACACATTATTTCATAGTGTGCTGATGATGCCGCTATAGTTGAAACGTCACTTTTATTGCTGTCGATTATTCATACATACCACCAATGCATTTATGCTAAGATTGCTAAGCGTTACTTAAATCAGTCTAGGTAATCTAGAACCATTAAGGAAATGACAATGGTTAACACTTAACTTTTGAAGAAAATTAATGTATGTGGTTGACATTTGTTTTCAGTCCGCTCCATTACTGATGGATGCGAATCAGTTTAAAAGTAAACTAGGTAGTTGCCACTTTAAAATTAACATTTATGTATAAATTGGAAGCCACAATTGTACAAATTACAAATGCTAAGGTCAGGTTCAGTAGCGAGAATATGACGTACCTAATTTACATAAATCAACCAAAAAAAAATGTTATAACATAACATAACATCTCGTTGGTACTTTTACAATCATCAAATTTTTCTTTATAACTATTATTGTATTGTTTACATCCACTCACTTCACACGACTGTCAAATTTTGTACGTTAATATTTTTGTATATAATTTCTATAAATAGCACCAATAAAAATGCCAATAAATTTAATTCTTAAAAGTTGAAGAGGTTAGGAATTTGTTTAGATAAACTAGTAGCTCGTTTTAAAATCAATACAAGGTGGTACGTGTAAAGTAATTCTTATAACTCCATTAAATACTTTTCATGAACTCGATGTTACATTCAATTTAAAATTATTTAAATATTATTTTATATTAGTTAAACTGCAGTAATAAACGATAGATGGCGTGTTATATTTCACATGTCAGCCAGTAGGTGGCAATCGTATCAAGTACCCCAACCCAACCAATTGCTGTCATTTGCGCCAAAATGACGGTTTGATACAGGAAGACTAGATAGTCTCCATGGTTTGATATATAAGTTTGTATTATTTAGAAAATAAAACTATCGAAATTAATTAATTGCACGCATGATTATAAGTTTATTGTATCATGAATTTCACGAGATAGTACCTAGTGAATATTAAAAGTAATTTTTCGAAGCTGTTAGTAAGGATTTTGCACCAAAAAATCCTTTCATATCTGAAGTTTCGACCTAGTTAAATTTAAACAACAAACTCAAGTGTGTAAAATATAAATTTGAAATAAATGATCTATCTCTGCTAATTTTGTAATTTCGGAAAAATACCACCCTGTATGAGTAAATATTTATGACATATCGCATATACACAGATTATGATTACATAACGAATATTTAGAGAATTCGTTAGATAAAGACTGGTTTCGCAGCATCCTGCCAGAGTTCACAAGAATCGCATTACGCGAACTGATTAAAATACAGATCCTCTGTTCTACGACACATTCTAATAAAATTTTTAATTGGAAATATACTAATAACAAATATTTAATTTAAAAAATTGGCTCAGCATTTTTCAAAATACATCCTACCAGCACATATACTTACACTTAATATTATTCAAAATTTTGTCTTTCTTAAACCCTTTTTTAGTGAAGAAATGTCGGCTTTATTAAAAAGATTAATTAAAAACAAACGTTCTAGACGACCGAATAACATTACAATGTTTTTTGTAGTAAGTAGTAGATGTAATTATAGAACCTCTAATCTTCGTGGGGAATCTGTTTTTCATAACTGGAAAGTTTCCAGACTGCTTGAAAGCCAGTAAAGTTGAAAAAGATGACCCGGAACCTACAGATAATTACAGGCTTGTAAATGTTTCATTTGGATTCGCTAAATAAATCTGATTATCTGAACATGCTTATTTAGATTTCTGTAGGTTCCTCACGAATATATTTTAACTTAACTGACAAACAACATAGATTTCAAACTACCAAGGCAAAACGTTTACTGGTGATTCATCCTTTTTGACTTAAACAAATTACTAGCAAATTGTATGGCTACGATATACGTGGCACATGTGCCTTTGATTTGGGTTTATTCGTCAATTTAAAAAAGTAGAAACAAACCAATATGTTTACTATAATGTACAATGTACAATAGGGTTACGTGTCAATTCTGAGTATAAATAATTGAGATGGGTGTCCCACAGGGATCTATACTGGGACCTTTATTATTTTTGATATATGCAAATGAGTTGGGTGCCATGAAACAAGCTCTGCTGGTTGTGCACCCTGATGTTGACGACAGTCATTACTTGTTCTGACAAATCAGATATACAATTACAAATTAAATGTACTAAACGACTTCTATTGCGAATACTGAAAATTTAAATTTAAATGAAACTCCTTTAGTTAGTTTCCATAATTGACAAAATAATAATAGAGCATTACAAACTAAATATATAGGGTGTTTCAGAAAACATGGGCCAACGCTCGGAGGCAGATTCTTAACCTAAACACAAGTTTATTTTTTCATATCAACATGGGTCCGATTTCGCTTTGTTCCTTAGCTACAGGGTGTCAAAAAGTTTTAAAATAAATACATGTTTTTTCCAAAAATCTAGATTTCCACTTGAGGGAATTAAATGAAATTTGGACAACTAACTATTTACAACCGAATACACATTCCTAGGTAATATTATGTTGAACGTGAATTGCAGGACCGGACTTACTTGCAAACCCTTGAAACCCAAAGAAAAATTGGACCGTTGAGATTTTTAATTTAAATGTGCTCGGAAATTAATATTTTGAGACAATCAACATTTTCTATAAAATGTTATATTATGTTTATGGAGTTGTTTATTGTAAGTACGTTTACAATTCATAATTAATTCTAAATAGATAAATAATTGTTTGTATTACATTTAAAATATCGAAAACGAGGGAAAACGAAAAAATAGTAAGGGTCAATTTTTGATCAAAATTGAGATAAAATTTAGCCCAGGTAATTATAAATTAGGAATCTTAACGAAGAACCGATTTTTTCTTTGATTAAATCCAAGGGCTTGCAAGTAAGTCCGGTCCTGTAATTCATGTTCAACATAATAATACCTAGGAATGTGTATTCGGTTGTAAATAGTTAGTATATTTCCTGGCATAGTAGGTATTTGACGAGTGCTTGAATTGGAACCCACATTAAAATCAGCTAATAAAAAAATTAAATCCTATGACATACTTAATAAGAAAATTTAAACAAATCAATTGACCTTTATCACTGTCAGGTAGAGGAGATTAAAGAGATGGCATTTATTTCTTGGGTGATAAAACAAAAAAAAAACTATTTTATAGAAATTATTTTTATTTGACAGTAGACTTGGTGTTAATGAAATGTTAATCCTAAACAGCTTAATCAAATTAGTCTAAAAGATTATGTTGTTTACATTTTTTATTATAATATATACCATCGAAAACGTACCGCAAGGCATTACAGCAAAATCCAAAAACAGGTCAAATTTGTTTCTGAGGGGGACAACTTTTGGCTAAAAAGCATACCAAAATCTTCAACCCCCTAAGTGGGGGTGCTATCCCCTAAATTTTTTCAAATGGGAATGGGGGTCAAGTGGGGGGTCATTAGAAAGGGCATTTAATTCTCTATACATCGATTCTTACTTTTTGAAAATCGATCCATTATTTTAGAAAATATGCAGCTTTGNTTTTGCTATGCTTTTTGCGCCAAAAGTTGTCCGCCTCAGAAGCAAACTTTACCTGTTTTTGGATTTTGCCGAAAAGTTCATTACTACCCTGTAATGCCTTGCGGTACGTTTTCCATGGGCTACCCTGTATATTAAAATGTGCATTCTTTCAATATACTATTTTACATATTCTTAATTTCGTAGGAAAGGGCTACTTTTTCAGCTGGAGGGATGCTGCCACTAAGGGCCTTGAATATGACTGGCTGGATGGTAGAAATTTCTGCAGAAAGCGTTGTATGGACTTGATATCACTAGAAACTAGTGCCGAGAACGAGTGGGTGAAAAAACGTCTTGTAGACGACAAGGTAAGTCGAACCAGTTTAGGTTACGTTACATCCGTATTTCCTACGTCTTTAGAATAGCCTTATTATTTATTGTTCATATGTATCTGGTTCGCAAAGATACAACATCTCTACAGAAGTTGGTACACAATCAGAAAAGTAGATAATCAGAAAGGAAAATCGTGTTAAGCGGAAAAGAAACTTTGCGCCGCACCTAAGTCTCGCGAAATCGCGATAGTGGCACAAATATTTGTTTTTGCGTGGGCATCATCCGCTTGCGACGTTTTTAACTGTTTCTGTTTCCATTTGACCCCCTGATCTATCTACGTGGTCAACAGGACATCTTCCCCGATTGCCCGGCGGCCCAGTCCGCCACTGTACGATTTTAAATTAATGTAATTGTGACCGAATACTCCCAATTATTTCTGTTCATTATAGCCACATATTTCCTTAAATATATGATCTTTATTTGGAATAGCATTGACCTAATTCTACTTCAGTTTGACATTACAAAACTTGTCCTCGTTGTCGCAAAATATGTAATTTGTAGGTCTTATATCTTCACTTAGCGGTGCATGATGAGTAAAGAACGCGTACCTACCTTATGTAATTTATTGTTTTAATATGATAACGAAGTGAGAGTTGCAGGAAACTAAAAAAGGAAGCCGAGTGTTTACGCGATTAAATGTCATTTAATGTGTTTTCTCTCAACTCGTCTGAATACGAATCTCATGGGAAGAATACGTTGTGAAAAAGAATGCGGATTTCGTTGTTTTCATCCAACTTAACACTATTTCCTTTATGTCATACCTTAAGAGTTAAAAAATGAAACGGCAGGGTTAATTTTATCTTATTTTCGAGTTTGAAATATGAGCAGAAGTTCTGATTACGGCCCTGGTTCTGGTATTTACATATCATTCAAAATTGTTGTCTGAAAAAGAACTAGGTGAAAATAAATAATGTTTACAATGTTAAACTGATGTAAATCATATCTGTCCACTTGTTATCTTTACTTTTATGTTGATAAACGTCGAATATTGTTTACCTACTTTTAAATTTAAAGGAGTCCATTCACTTACAAGTAAACTTATTGTTTCTCTTATTTTTTTTTAAAACATTCAAACAAATTTTCCATTTTATGAAAATATCAGTGTCACAATGTCCTAAAAATGTTTATTGTCAATATCTCCACATAAATATTTAACAAGATATAATTATTTAAAAAATTATGGTGGCCGCCATCTTTCTTCCAAATAGAGAACAATTTTTATGTGGTTTTAGAAAAAGAAACTTTTTTCTAATCATTTTTACTTGATACCAAATAAAGGGTTAACTTGATGCAAAAGTACATTTTTTATTTATCAGAAAATTACATTATTTTAATCAGGCAAAATTAGAAAAAAAAACGAAAATACGTTTTCCGAAAAATATGTGAACTTTTTAGTAAATTGTAAAAGCATAACTCTACAGGGTGATTCACAAATGGTGACCAAAAATGATATCTCGTATTTTTTGGTGAATTTTAAGGGAAATCTTTCCTATAAAGTTTTTATCTAGGGCGCTTCGTTAAAAAGGTACAGGGTGTTAAACTTCAAAAAATATTTTTAACTTTTTTAAATAATTTAAAAACTAGTTAGTGAAATAATTTGAAATTGGGCACATGCATGTATGTAAACATTGTCTAAAATTTGAGGGGTTTTCCTAAAATTTACATGCTCCAGTGGTGGAGATATAGGGTATCGGTGGCATATTTTTCTAAATAAAATAGTACGCCACTGCTTTACATGTCATTATTTTATTGATTTTATTTGAGTAAATGTTCAAAAATACCTCCATTTTCACGAACAAAGGCCCAACATCTTTTTAGTAACGAAAATGTAATTTGTTCGAAATTTAGTGTTGCTACAATCTGATGAAAACCATTATTTATTCTTTCTTCTAATTGCTCAGAATGTCAAAGTTGCTATCGCAGCCCACTATTGAAGTGTGTTCTCAGTTCGTTTTTTAAGTTTTACTCGAAAATCAGGCTTTTTTCGAAAAACATAAGAGTGTGGTCATTTGTAGAATATTGAAAGACGAATCCAAACATATCATGGTTGTTACCTTAAAGTATTGGCGTACTATTTTATTAAGAAAAATATGCCAGTGATACCCTGTATCTCCGCCACTGGAGCTTGTAAATTTTAGGAAAAGCCCTCAAATTTTGGACAATGTTTACATAAATACATGTGCCCAATTTCAAACTATTTCACTTACTAGTTTTTAAATTAGTTAAAAAAATTAAAAATATTTTTTAAAGTTTAACACCCTGTATCTTTTTAATGAAGCGTCCTAGATAAAAACTTTATAGGAAAGACTCACCTTAAAATTCACCAAAGAATACGAGGTTTTATTTTTGGTTACTATTTGTGAATCACCCTGTATACAAAATCAGCAAATATTATTTCATTGATGAAAGAAATTATTAAGAACTTTATTATAGGAATTAATATTAACTTAATCAGTAATGTTGGTAAAGTTGTACTCTAAAAAATATGCAAGGATATCAAGTTAAAAATAAAAACACCAATAAAAAAAAATCGAAAAAATCAATAATTCATATTTTTCGATTTTAATAATAACTTTATTACAATACAACAATTGAATTGTGTCAAAGTAAACTAACCCTGTCAGAATTTAGCCAATTTAAAAAAAAATGTCAGTATTATTTTTAATTTTGAGTCATTAAATTGTTAGAAATTTCTTTTCTAAAATAGTATTAAAAACTTCCCACATAGTGGGAAGTTTTTAACCAGCCTGTAGACTTATATACAGAGTGATCCAAATTTGATTATCACTACATCTCAGGAACTATTAGAGATACATCTAAAGCTTATATGGACAAAGAATGTGCAAAATTTAATGCTTAGGAGTTTAAGATTATTCTATTTAAAAAAATACCATTGTGTAAAGTTAATAATGTGGAACATCAATATTTCCTTATGTTTAATGAATTTTTAACAACATTTTTTTTTTAAATGACAAGTTAATCAGACAAGTTATCTGATTGGTTCTCTCTTGCGGGAAATTGATATTATGATAAGAAAACTTACAGTTGCTTTAATTTTAAGTTCAGAAAACATTAAATCTGATCTAAATACCATTTATACTACTCTAATAAAACTAATTAACTGTGAAAAAAGTCAACTATAGCCCCTTCCTTTGTAGTATTAGAAGATTAGGAAGTTTGTGTAACATAAAAATTAATTTGCCAAATAAATTTACTGTGTACAATGTACATGACAATATATAAAGTATTTAACACAAACAGAAAGTAATAACTTTTCTTCCGGCAAATTTTAGTTGTTAGACAAATATTTAAATTTCATAACTAATTTCTAATTAGTATATAGGTAGAATGTGAATGGCAAGTGCAACGATAAAATCATTGTATAATACTCTCTAAAATGTATTAATGTTAATGAACTATTAATTACTTATTTTATTTTTTTTTTTGTTGACAAATTTTACTACACCTATGATATGACCATTATTGACTGACTTAATTATTAATATTACTGACTGCAATTTTTTTCCAGGTGAAATATATCTGGACATCGGGCCGGCTCTGCGACTTCAAGGGCTGCGATCGTGCAGATCTCCAACCAGTCCAAGTAAATGGATGGTTCTGGACAGCCGTTCTGCAAAAACTAGCCCCGACCACCCAGAGAGATCAAAATGATTGGTCCCCTACTGGAGGCATCGGTAAACCCCAACCCGACAACCGTGAGGCACAACAGGGAGGGGCGACAGAGAATTGCCTCGCCGTTTTGAACCAATTTTACAATGACGGAGTTAACTGGCACGATGTGGCTTGTCACCATGTCAAACCTTGGGTGTGCGAAGAAAACGAAGACCTTCTCAAATACGTCCGTTACACAAACCCCACGTTGGCGATTTAAGTGTTCAAAGATTAAGTTAGACTGAGTATTTTTTAAAAAGTGGCATTAATATAAATTAATTTATTGTAGTTAGACGTGTAAAATTAGTAAATAAATAAACGATTACTTGGAATATGTTGTTTTACCAGTACTATCGTAATAATGTACATGACACACCCAATCAACTGTTTATAAAATTAAACAAAATTATATTTATAACGCCTTAAAAAAAAATAACATGAAAACAGAAACTATCATTTTTTGCCTTCCACCATAATTATGTGATATCCAAACTTCGTTTTAACTGGAGGATCGGTATAAACAGGATTGTTAACAGTAGATATGGGTAATGCGAATGCAGCATCCTGAAAAGGTCCTACCATAGACCCTCTCGTCATCCATCCCAAATCCCCACCAGAACGTGCCTTGTCTTCGCTGTAGGCTGCAGCTACTTCTGGAAATTTTTGCCCTGCTTTCAACTTCTCTAAAGCTTCCAAACATTTGCCTTGTTTTTCACAAAGGATGTGTCTTACTTTCACAGCTGTACCACCTTTTTTCTCTTTCGAACCTAAATTTCAGGTTAAGGCATTAAAAGGCTTAAATGTATGAGTCTGTTTTTAAAACTACCTTTATCGCCTGAGTCGTCGCTCTTTCCTGGTTTAACAGCTTTCGCACCACCTTTTTTTGGTGGCATATTGTAATAAATTAACTAAAAATACGTGCTAAAAAATAATTGAGGTTGACAATAATATAACCACTAAAATATTAACAACATTCTACAAACCACAGAACATCAATTGGGAAAGTCATAGAACTCAAAATATAAAGTACGTTCCTGTTTTTAAGGAGGAAAAATAAATGTGTAATTAGTTGTGAAATTGTAATTTTAACAAAGAAATATGAGTTGTAGTGGAATAAATTTAGTATGACTTGCATCACTGAAAATATAGACATTTTCGAAACGATATTGCAAAATTGTAGGTTAATGAACCCGCTACTTCGGCCTCGTGATCCTGACAGCAACAGCCTTCGAAGTTTTGTTGCAGTCTAACCTTCAAATATTTAAATAAAATTTCCAGCAGTATGGTTGCATTACTGCTAAGCAGTGTAGCGCAATGATAAGATTTCGGATATTTTAAGTTTTTAAGGTAGATTTTAAGATAAGGCGTGTATTTTTATTTATTAACCGAATGAACATACAACATCGTTTAGTACATTAACTACAAATTACATAAGGAACACCATGCATGACTGGTTCAAGGTGTCCCTTTTACTGTGTATCTTTGGGTTTCTCAAAGAGCTAAGACCCTCAGAACCCTTTATTTACGAGTTTTTAATTGATCAGAGATGGCGAAACTTAACCGAAGAACAAGTGAACCAAGAAGTGTACCCTGTGGGAACGTACAGTTATCTGGCACATCTGATTGTGATCTTCCTAATAACAGATTTGTGCAGATACAAGCCACTGATCGTACTATTGGGGGCTAGCGGTATCGTGATATGGGGCATGCTGCTATGGACGGAAACTCTGCTTGAGTTGCAAATTTTGGAGGTAAGTAACATATTTGTACTATTACTATTATAAAAATAAGGAAACGGCGAAATGAGTTTTACATAAATTTTTAAAGGCAGAGGCAAAAAGTGTGTGCTAGGAATTGATATTTGGTGATTAGAATCAAATACTTGTAAATTAGTACATCGGGCATTAAACATTAAATTCTTTTTTCTCATATACAGAGTGTATTTAAATGAAAGAGCACAGATCTTATTAGATAATCTTAAGGAGAAATTTAATTGGATCAAATATGCCTTGGACAACGTTCAGAAAATATCAAATATACCTTAGTCCAAGATGAAATTAAAAGACATATGTGACATGAAATAAATCATGCAAATCTCTATCTTTCTAGATTTGATTCTCTTACAAGAATTAATACAGTCAAATTAAAATTTCTCTAGGAGTTTGGTATTCATAACTATAGTAAAGAACTGTTATAATAAATCAAGTAGGTAATTGTAATAAAAAAGTACCTATTAGTTATTTTTACTCTATAATAAAGGTAATTTTAGGTAAGCTAATTCAAATAAATTCAAAAAAAAATTCCTAAAAAAGTCGTGTTTTCGCTATATCTTATTATTAATATAAAAAAATAATGTAGTTTTTCAAAGAAACTTCTATTTTTGTTGTCCTAACATCACCCTTGACAAAGATCAGTTCATAAAAATGGGTACTACAGAAAGTTCTTACTATTTCCACATTTTAGTTTAATAATATTCAGACATATACTATATCATATTTTTATTTTGTATAATTATTAATTACAACCCATTTACTAGATAAGTATTCCTAAGTATTGCTGATATGACTCATTACTAGTCGGGGTATGTATAGCCTATAGAGTAGTTCTTTCCCACAATATCGACAGTTAGGAATTTTGTCTATGAGGTTCAATATCTTTTTCATTCTCTTTGTATCGAAAAACAATAACTTCTTTTGATAGGAATCTTTTTTTTTTAGGGAAAATTGAATTTATTTGACTGCACTGTAAAACATCTTGGATTTGGTTTACTGGTCAATATTCAATTTTTGTAGTGCAATAAAATTGTTCAAAATACTATCTATTATTCCTTTATTATACCAAACTGATTTGGGTAATAATAATTTAAAGATGGTAAATTTTTATTCCTTCAAATTCAACCCTTTGGAAAGTTTAGTAATTTATTAAGAACAAAGAATTGTCCATATACTTACTATAAATTTAAATCACATAAAATGCTGTTTTATGTGATTTGCCGTAATCAAAATTAGTCAGATTTTAAGATTTTTTTTAAACTCAATTGGTATTAACAAACGATTTGTGTTCCCTTTGGTCCCTGATTCTGGTCATAATCCATAATATTCTATCAAAGAATGCGTTTTTTTTTTCAAAGTTCTTTATAGAACGCCGTCTTTACTGCAGTCAACCTCCGTAAAGTGGCATTTTTTAAATTTGGGTTTTTTTTTTCAAATCAAATTTGTTTAATCAAAATAGTTTGTAGAGTTTAGACGTGCGACAAGGTGGAAAAAACAATCAAACTAACCAAACTTTTTAGTGGTTAATGAATGATGATGGGTATAAAACAAAATATGATATGAAAAAATAAACTAATAGCTTTTTAGAGTAAGTTTTATTTATAATTTTACTAATTTGATCAAATCAGTTTGACCAAAATAGTTTTGTGGTACCTATGAAAGTTTATTTTGATGGCGCCCTCAAATCATTTTTATGAAAATTTGATTGAAAATTCAAGAATTTTAATAAAATAATGTGCATCTTTTCGTGGTTTTGTACTGAACTTATATAAGAACGACAAGTTGCATTGTTACAAAATATTTCACCATACATAATTTACTTTTTATATTACTTAGGTATTTATTATATCTATGACATCAAAGGTAATCTAAGATTGGACGCAATTTACAAGTTTATATAATAGCTAATAACCACTAGATATCGTAAACGTTTTTTTACGAAATCATATTTATTGAAATAATTATATCCTACTATTGTGGAAAACAATATTGATTGATTAGATTTTTTAATTAAATGTAGTCCTAATCCTAAACACATTTTGATTGTTTTTATTTGAAACATTCTTCTGGAAAATAAAACCAAATTTACACTATTAAAAAACATACATAAACAGGATAGCCAGTTTAATAACGATTAGTAAGCAATTCCAGAGTTATATTACCCAAAGTGCCATGTAATCATGTCAAATATTTATGACAAAAATAATGACTCTAGCAATAAAGTTAACGCTTACCTAGCGAGACAAATATTATGTTAACAATAATAGGATATTTAAAATACGAATTACCCAATAAAAGTTTTCCCTTAAATCCTTAAATGTAAATGTATTTTTAAGTCCTATACAAAATATACGCTTTTTTGTTCCTAGACTGGGTAATGTGTTCGAACCTTAACCTAAGATCGTCAATTAGTAATATTAGTAAGTAGGTGACTATTTTATAAATCACTCTGTATTATGCGTCCAATTGACTGCTTTATTCATATTCATTGTCATGAACTTATGAATAAGTTTTATGAGGAGACAATCGCAGTTTGTTTCTAAATTACAGCAATATTAATATAAATTGTCTAAATTGGAATTCATACATGTAACCTTCACCTTGTAGAAGCTCAATAGGAATATTATGAAACGTCTGTGTGGAAAAAAATTACAGGTACTGCGTATTTTGCTTAATATAAATAGACAATTTTACTCGTGATTTTTTTTTCGTATTGATATTCACTATTAAAATAGAACTTTAAAATATTATTAGATCGTACAAGGTAAATTTTCATTTGACTGAAATATGTAGGTACAAAGTTTGTTGTTTGTTACTAATATTACACGAATATAGATATTCCTAGGTATGTACTGTTTATTTTAGGATATAGGTATCTTTTAATTAGTCACATTATCATCAGTGTTAATCTTTGGACTTATTGCTGATTATATGGGTAAATATTTCAGTACTTTCACATATAATTGATCATATTAATAAATGGGGAAATAATAAAGTATCAAATAGATAATTTGGTAAACTAAAAAGAAACCGATTTTTTTAATTAAATAGACAAATTGGATGTTTATTTACTGCTTTCTTTAAATTTCCAGTTGAAAATCATTCCAATGATAAAAGTCTCAAATTCTGATTCTTAAAAATAGGACTGAGTATTTTTCTTAGAATACCTTTTATATATGGAGACAACAATCATTTTTATGTTTCTTTACATTTATCTCTGGTATCTAAAATGGGTAATATTATTTAGATAAGATACTAATTGTCATATTTATGTACCACTTTATACATATTTTAATTCGATTTAATCAATTGTATTTGAAATAACTCTGAATGATTAGATTAAAACCGATAAATTTAAAATTAAACAGATCTGGAATAACGAATTACTGCTTTAAAAAACAGTTTCGATTTTTTTTTCAAGAAATTAAGTTTTTCAACCCTTTTGCAATAATAATTATTTTCTACAAAATTTGACCTACTTTCTGAATTTGAATATAATGTAATGGACGGAAGAGCCAGAGGCAAAAAAATTGTTAAGCCTAGTTTTTTTGATAGTTGATTACAGTAGTGTACACAAACACTGGTCTATTCAATGTAATTAAGATGTATATTATTAATATTACTATAAACTACATTTTAAAATAAAATTTTTATTTCTTTTTTCGCTGACTGACGAGCGTTGTCCCACAAAATCGTTGACTGACCATTTTGTTTATGGTTAATATAACAATTAATACTCTCACAAAAGTTTTGAAGTATTGTAAGCGAATTACACATTATTTATTTTTTGTACATAGGTACATACATTGGGGCTGATTGACCAGCTCTGCCCCCACATTCAGCTGATTAACTGACATAACTTTTATTTATATACAGTCAAATTAAAATTTCTCTAGGAGTTTGGTATTCATAACTATAGTAAAGAACTGTTATAATAAAACAAGTAGATAATTGTAATAAAAAAGTACATATTAGTTATTTTTACTCTATAATAAAGGTAATTTTAGGTAAGCTAATTCAAATAAATTAAAAAAAAAAAAATTCCTAAAAAAGTCGTGTTTTCGCTATATCTTATTATTAATATAAATATATAATGTAGTTTTTCAAAGAAACTTCTTCTATTTTTGTTGTCCTAACATCACCCTCGACAAAGATGAGTTCATAAAAATGGGTAATACAGAAAAGTTCTTACTATTTCCACATTTTAGTTTAATAATATTCAGACATNATCTAAAATGGGTAATATTATTTAGATAAGATACTAATTGTCATATTTATGTACCACTTTATACATATTTTAATTCGATTTAATCAATTGTATTTGAAATAACTCTGAATGATTAGATTAAAACCGATAAATTTAAAATTAAACAGATCTGGAATAACGAATTACTGCTTTAAAAAACAGTTTCGATTTTTTTTTCAAGAAATTAAGTTTTTCAACCCTTTTGCAATAATAATTATTTTCTACAAAATTTGACCTACTTTCTGAATTTGAATACAATGTAATGGACGGAAGAGCCAGAGGCAAAAAAATTGTTAAGCCTAGTTTTTTTGATAGTTGATTACAGTAGTGTACACAAACACTGGTCTATTCAATGTAATTAAGATGTATATTATTAATATTACTATAAACTACATTTTAAAATAAAATTTTTATTTCTTTTTTCGCTGACTGACGAGTGTTGTCCCACAAAATCGTTGACTGACCATTTTGTTTATGGTTAATATAACAATTAATACTCTCACAAAAGTTTTGAAGTATTGTAAGCGAATTACACATTATTTATTTTTTGTACATAGGTACATACATTGGGGCTGATTGACCAGCTCTGCCCCCACATTCAGCTGATTAACTGACATAACTTTTATTTATATGCAATATAGAATCTGTATAAGGCTGCAGCCTTAGTAAATTCATTTTATTACCTCGGCACTCTCGGCAGGTATGACAACTTTGATAATGTACCTGAGACACCTGTTCTCAGTTTCGCTTGACTGGCACAGTAATGTTTTTATGCACAACTTCTGTAGTCAACTATCAAAAAACTAGTATTAAATTCAAACAATTTTTTTCCTCTCTGGATCTTGGACTGTACCTAACGTCCGATCTGAAAGTATGTCATATTATAATGTGATAGTACTTTTGAAAATTAATATGTAGGTATTATTTTTCATATGACCATTCTTCCAAAAATGCTCCCTCTCCGAAATACAGGGTAATAAATTTAAAAAAATGTCTATATTGTTTTTCAAACTTACAGAAATATTCAATCTAAATTTGATATCAATATGAGATAAGTCGCCTTAGTATGCGGTAATATCAAGTACCTAAAGCAACTAATGGGGTAGATATGAACAAAAATAATTAGCATGTTACCATAAAACTTTTAATTTTAAAAGAAAAATGCCTCTACATATATAGATATATTTTCCATGTCAATTTCACGGCAATTTCCATGTTGTTTACTTTGCATTAAGGTATGAAGGCAAGTTTGGTGGAACTAATTTCTTGGTTGAATTACTTTCTTTTTAATCCTATCCAGGTATAACGAATATTAAATTTAGTTTGAACATTTCCCTTTAGGAAAAATGTAAACAAATAACCTCAAATAACATATTTTTAAAAAATACCGCCATATGAACTCCAAAGTTAAATCTGACTCAAGTATTTAATCCACAAAATAAGAATTTTTTTTTGTAACATTTATAGATATTCTATGGTACGTTCTGTGCTACTGAGGTAGCTTATTATACCTACATCTACGCCAAAGTCGATACAGAGTACTTCCAACAAGTTAGTGGTCACACCAGAGCTGCCATTTTGGCAGGACGCGCCGTCTCCGGAATAATCGCCCAGCTCCTGATATCCTTCCACGCAATGAACTACAGGGATCTGAATTATATAACATTTGCAGGTAGGTGCATGCATAACTGTTAAGACATATCTATTTTCTTTAATTTTGAAAACCTTTCACGATTATAAAATATAAGGTAAGATCAAATAAAGATCTATTATTGCACAACTTATTTTGAAAAAAACTTGACAGTTAAATTTGACTAGAAACTATTATTTTATTTGAAGAAAATTATAATTTAGTATTAGAGTATTTTGGGGAACAAGTATTATTACCGCAAAAAACTGACCCCCACTTAAAATCAAACCCTTTATACATATGTACAATATAAGTAAGCAATATACAGGGCTTATAAAAGTCCCGGTACGGTAGAAAAACTTTTGAATACATTTTGGGAAAATATGTTCCAGACAAATGTGTAAGGATTTTTCCCTAACTATGTGATGGTGACCTTGGATTTGACCTTCAAGGTCATTTGAAGATCAAGTTAAGTTTTTTAAATGGGAACCCCTATTTTTTATTGCGGATTTGGAAAGAGCAGGAAATTTTACGTCCAAATATAGTCTTAACCATGACTTTGACAATGACCTTCAAGGTCATTCCAAGGTCAGTTGTTTTTTCATTGGTAACCCCTATTTTTATTGCGGATTTGGAAATAGCTTAAATTTAACCTTCAAGTACGTCTTTGACAATGACCCTCAAGATCATGTCAAAGTAAGAACCTTAATTGGTCGGGTATACACACCACCTTGCCTTAATTGGTCGGGACTACACGCTACCTTGCCTTAATTGGTCGGGTATACACACCATCTTGCCTTAATTGGTCGGGTATACACACCACCTTGCTTTAATTGGTTGGGTATACACACCAGCTTGCCTTAATTGGTCGAGACTAAACGCTACCTTGCGTTAATTGGTCGGGAGTACTGCCGTACCGGGACTTTTGGAATTCGACCCAAATTTGACCTTGAAGATAGTTAAACATAAAATTTCCTACTCTCCATATCCGCAATAAAAAATAGGGGTTCCCATTTAAAAAACATAACACGTCAAGGTCAAATCCAAGGTCACCATCAGATAGCCAGGCAAAAATTCTTACACATTTGTCTGGAACATTATTTCCCAAAATGCATTCATTGAAAGTTTTTCTGCTATACCGGGACTTTTGGATAGCCCTGTATAATAAATATATCCATTAATTTCGTTTGCAGTTAAACATTTTTATTGGCAATTGAAACAGTTTTAAGTTAGCATTATTTCATACTGACATATTTTCATTTATTACAATAATTGATACATCGATAAATAAAAATAGTTCAATAATAACAATCCCACTTTTAAATTATTCATTACCATCCCATCGGATCACTTCAGCCTTGACATGTTGCATGTCATCTGTTTTCCTTGGAATCTCATCTCTTGTTTCATCTCTTATTTATTGATACGTGTGCCTCCATCAATATTCAAAGTGAAGGGAGTGAGACTCGATTAATATGCCATTAGGATCATGTTGAAAGGAAATTATGCCATTTAATTTGTATTAAATATTCATACAATCAGGTGTTGCTCGTTGTTGATGAGAGCTTATTGAATGCAAAGCTTTGGAAAAAAAAATTGAAATAAGTTCATGGCTTGCCCGATTACAATCACGGGATTTTTTCTATGGGCTTATTAATTATTTAATGTTTTATTAATATCGTGAATTGAATAATTTGCATTCATTTTACCTCATTATGTGAATTGATTAGCGCCAAGAAACGTCTTAAATACTTGAATTTTTTATTTACGAACCACTTTTTTTCATTATAGCAATGATCGCAGCAACGATATGGAGTTTATTCTTACCCTCCGTCAAAAAAAGCATCTACTTCCACCGGGAGGAGATACTCTCCCTACCGTTCTGCATGAAGGTCCGACACGCCTTTGTACTTATGGGCAATCATTTCATCAACTCGTTCTCAAACTTATATGTCCTGAAATGGTCATTGTGGTTCGCCTTGTCCACCTGCGGGTATATCCAAGCACAGACGTACATGCAACCGTTGTGGACAGCCATAGTGAACGATCCGGAGAAATCGATTTATAACGGCGCAGTAGAGGCGCTTTTAACCGTCCTCGGATTTCTGGGTGCTCTTCTAGCGGGCATCTTGAACGCAGACTGGAAGACGAAAGGTGAACTGACTCTGACTCTATGCTCTCTCTTGCAGGGCTTCTTTTTATTGTATTCCGCCAGGACGGAGTATATATTATTAAGCTACATTTTTTACATTGTTTTCGGTGCATTGTACCATTTCATGGTAACCATAGCTAGTAGCGAAATCGCGAAGAACATCAAAGACGAGAGTTACGGTTTAGTTTTCGGTATTAATACATTTGTAGCGGTCGTTTTCCAGTCCATCTTGACTACCATTGTAGTGAGGGGAGGGATAGGGTTCGCGTTGAATCCTAGGGATCAGTATTTCGTTTACGGCTGCTTCCACATCGTGGTGGCCGTTTTGTATATTATTATAGGGTTGATAACGTGGCTCGCCAATTACAGGTACTATAGGAGGGCTAGCATGATAATAACTTCATGATGACGTACTAAGTATGGCCGAGGGCTGTGAGGGTGCGGCAATATTAGTCTTGGGGCCTCGTTATTTCAAGGCCGTTGTTATTTTGTTCGCTTTGTTTTTAAAATGTTTATGACAAATGTTTCAATAGTCAAGTAAGTAAATGGGTACAAATTTCTACCGATTTGAGTGAAATTAGTTTTCATTTTAAATGTCGGTTTTTAATATTCAAAACAGTTTTAAATGTATCTGTATGAAATTGAAAATGAAAATTAATCACTAAAAATGAACAAAATTTCAGTCTCACGATAATATATAGTTTAGTACGATAGGAACTGATATTGGAATTTCAGTTTTTAGTATTAGGTTTTTTTTCAAAAATCGGGCGTACCTCGAATTTTATGGGCTTAAAATTAAGTAAAAAATACACAGAATAAAAGTCTAAATTTGTGTATTTGTGGAGGTCGAATGTCATATTGTTTATAACAAAAGGAAAAAAATAATGGTTCTTTTTTCAGTTTTTCGCTTATACCTCCGAAAATAAGCGTCTAATCGACATAAGGTATACTTTTTTCCATTGCAAAGAAAGTTTTTAATTTTTATAAGAATATTAAAAGTAAAATAAATATTTGACGTATAATATATTTTAGGCATCGATGAATTTTTCAAGTTAATGGATTCCGTTGTAGACCACGTGACTTGAATGTGGCAAAATGGCAAAATTCATCGAAGTCTAAAATTAAAAAAGGCAACTTTCTCTAGCAATACAATTCATTAAATAAAATGTAGAATTGAATGTTCTTTTAAACACTATAAAATGCAGTAGTACCAAAAAAAAACAAATATTTTNATTCATTAAATAAAATATGGTAGAATTGAATGTAACAGTTAAATACTATAAAATGCAATACTTATATGTAATGTTGATTAGGGTGGCCCAAAAAATCGAATATTTTGTTTTCATGTCTCTTGTTATTTTATCATGTTTTAAGACCAAAATCAGCTCAAAAAAAAAAAAATTTTTTAGTTTTTTAAAAATTTCCAAAATGAATTATTTTATCATTTTCTAGGTTGAAAAAAATCTCGATTCTGAAAATTTCAAATCGTTTTAATTTCTAAAGGTCACTCATAATTATTTTAACTTTAAAAGTAGTGTACCTACCTAAAATGTTTTCGAGAGACCTCTAAAAATAAATATCAACGAACTAATAATTTTTTTAATTGAATTTGGTGAACAAAAAAATACAAATAAATCACGAAACACTTAAAAAATTTCTCGAGGCAAAATTTACCACCGCACTGCGAGTATTAAATATTTATAATTTTTAAATTTTTTAAAATTTAAGTGTCTCGTGATTTATTTCTATTCTTTTGTTCATCAAATTCAATAAAAAAAAAATTGGTTAATTGATATTTATTTTTAGAGGTCGCTTGAAAACAGCTACACTACTTTGAAAATTAAAATAATTATGAGTGACCTTTCGAAATTAAAATATCGATTTAAAATTTTCAGAAGAGATTTTTTTCAACCTAGAAAATGATAAATTAACGAGAAAAAAATTTGTTTAAAAAATTAATTTTTTGATTTTGGAAATTTAAAAAAATTTTGAGCGACCTCTAAAAAAATTTTTTTTGAGCTGATTTTTTGAGGGGCTCTTAAAACATGATAAACTAACATATTTTCACAAGACACGAAAAAAAATATTCGTTTTTCTTTGGGCCACCCTAATGTTGATATTGAAACATTCAATAATATTCTAGACACAATTTACGCAATAAGTTAATTTTAAGACGAAATTTTATACGTCGACCTTTTCTGAGCACGGTAAATTTTCATTCACTCATCATTTTTTTTCAAAGAAATAATTGACTTTTGTTTTTAAATACATAAGACCTCCTTACTTTTCAAAATATCGAAAACACAAAGAAATTACAAAAGAAAACGTGAAGTCATTAAAAATGTATTTTTAGGCTAGGTATACCTCATGTCGATTAAAGGCTTATTTTTGGAGATATAAGCGAAAAACTGAAAAAAGAGCAATTATTTTTTTCTCTCTTGTATATGTCGCTCGACCTCTATAAATACACAAATTTAGGCTTTTATTCTGTGTATTTTTAACTTAATTTTAAGCCCATAAAATTCAATGAGGTCCGATTTTTGAAACCAGCATATGCAGAGTGCCAAAGTAAATACATTTTTTGTCTGAAATTTCCAATACCCTATAGGATGTATCGTCTACGGTAGCGAATGTCTGCTACAATCAAACTGTAATCTTATCTTTTCTGAACAATTTGTTTTTTGATTCCTGTTGTCTCTGTTGTCAATTGAGATACATGTTAAATTAAAGAGTAGGTACAACTTTATTTAAAAAATTCGAAACCCCTCCCATAATAGTAATAAAAAAAATCAGAGACAAGACACAAAAACAAAGAAAAGCAATCAATAATAATATCAACTCTGTGTCAGAAGTTAATCTTTTTCTGATCGTCATTCCATATTTCTTTGAGCATGTTCTGAGTGTTGTCAAGATATTCAAGTTTGATTTGATCCTTTCTGAGCTATGTACCCATAACGTTCCTGATTTTGTTTTATTTATAAGTAATGTGTCGATGATGTGCGTCAAAATGCAAATTGTTCAGAGAAAATGGAACTATCACACCATTCAAATCGACTATCACTATTTTAGCTGGCACACCCTTCCCTGAAAACTGAAATTTCAATACAAAAATCCCCGTCTTAATAGTGTCGAGGGATAAACTTATTATTTCGAAGCAAGTTTGATTTTGTTTGATTTTGCAAGGACGTCGACTTTGAAACTGGGGTTTATTTTTAGTGGTGCATTGTTCATTTTCATGCAAAATGTGTTATAAGTAATGTGTGAATTTATGAAATGGATCTCTTCAGAAATTTACAATTGAGATTCTCCTAAACCGTGAAAGTCGCACCGTTAATAAGTTACTTAAAATCCAATTATTTATTTCTATATTTATCCGTTTTCTCATGAACATGTTTATTTGTATTGTTGTTATTTATTGTAGGTCTTAAAACGATTAGTGATGAGTAGATTATAAGCTAATCTATACCTTATCTAGACAATTCTATTCATAGTTGGATTTTATTTTCTGTAACGTTTTAACCTCATAACAATTGATTTAGAAATGGTCATAGACTGTGATGGAAATTTTTAGGACTGCTCTTTTATACTTAGCTATATGTATATTGATATTTGTAGACTGATTACGTCTTAAACTAGAAAAAAAAATTGCTCAAAGCAGTCAAAAATATTTATCTACGATAGATTTTTTTTTGTTTCTTATAAAGAAATATATAAGTTAAAAGTGTAATTTTATTTTTCCTTATTCCTTTTAGCAACTTTTAAGAAGCAGAAGAGCAAGACTTGAGTATTAGAGCCAAGATTAAAAAGAGGGTCTAATACACTTTTGAAAATAAGACAATACGAAAATTATAGTCAATATATTAACTCGTAAAGCCAATCCTATATAAAATAATCTATTATAAGCATAAACAGGATTTGAAAATAAAGTACCTATAAAAAGTAATATTATTTTTCATATTAAAAAAAAAAACAATGAAACTGATTTGTTAGTCCGAGGTCACTACTTTTTATTTGTACTTAGTACATAAATGATTTCATCTCGTAAAATTACAAGATTTATCACAGCCTTTTCAATAAGATAAATAAAATATTTGCACTTTATTCTGTAAGAACTTACACATCAAAAGTCTACCCAAAAGTGTTCCCGTCACGCAATGATCTATAATCCCTTAGAATTAATTTAATTTTTGGCTTTGTCATGATAAAACCGTAAACAACAAACGAAAACTTCTTCATTCACTTTAGAAACTTATAAAAATCACGATATCTTTTGCTAGTCTTACTTTTTAAGAAACCCAATCTTCCTTAAATACCTAACGATTAAAGGAACAGATGTGAGCGTGATTGCAATCCGAGCAGGCATAAAGACTTTGTGTATGGCATAAGCCACTGCAAACGTCCCAGCGCTGGATGCGATTTGGCTTTTAGTCGCCCACTCGTTCAGTCCAACTGCGGCGAAAACTTTAGTAACATCCAGGCCTCTACAATTAAACATTTTAAAGAATTCGTACAAGTTTTGTATCTCCTACTTACGATGACACCAATAGATAACACGTTCCTAGTGACATTAAAGATATTCCTATGTGAAAGACAATAACTGTCGTGCCATACTCTTTAACAGCCTTTTTTAATTTCTCGCCTGAAGTTAGAGGTACAATTATTTTCTTATTAGTTTCTTCTGTATCTGGGTTTTTTTTAGGTACTGTAGAAGGCTCTGTACTTTTATACCTTAAAATGTTCCATTTGGGCACATAACTTTTTATAATCATATTGGGGTTTTGTAAGTTGGTATTTTTTAAAGCATTTCCATGATCTGACCAATTTTTCTTACCTTCTATTAAACTAGTGTTGTAGTTTCTTATTTTTGATAAAGTAGCACAGGCTGCAAATAATTACACTGATACATTAACATTTATGTACAATTAAAAAATTTAATTTACCATAAATATTTGTGTCAGGATATAAAAAATGATGATGACTACTTCTAATAAATGCGTTTTTAATCATTTTTAATAATTTTGTGTTCACTCTATGTTTGTTGACATTTTCTAGAAATTGATAAATGACAACTCACAATGACAAGTCAGATTTAACCATAGAAAAGGATATTTATATCTAATCCTTTTGGAGTTCTGTTCCATCGTATCAAAACGATAGACAAGGAACACGATCTATAAATATAGAAAATATATATGTAGAATGTTGAAGAAAAATCTGTTTTGTAAATATTAACAAACAATAAAAGCGAGAAAAATATGCATTCAGAAAAAACTTATTAAAAATTGTCATCGACACCGATAAATTGGTGATAACTCTAATAACTTATCTATTCAGACTCTGTCTGCAGAATGTAGTTGCTTTCCAATCGCCTAGGTTCTTCTCCTGAAGTGTTCCTCTACTGTTATATGTACTCTTTAAATACATTGGAATATTTTAATATATTCCCATAACATTTGTATTTTATTGTCATAACAAATAGATTATTTTTTATATCGAATAAAACCAAATATCGAATACTATACGATATACTATTGAAACGAAAAGTTTCAGATATATCTATTTGTTTATCAAATCGAACAAAATTAAATAATCACGAAATGAAATACAAAATCAATGAAATTTCATTGAAATGTTTACAATATTAGCAATTAGTTTACAATTAACTAACAAATAAAACGAAATCGTCCATATCGCTTTAAAATCAGAATAATATACATGTACATTTACTCTGGAGTACTTTCAGTTTACTCCGACTGGCATTCGAAAACTACTCAACTGATCACAACCTCTGTTATCGCATCTATGATGTGTGAGAAAATTTTAGGAACGGCTGACGAACCGAATGCATCTTTGTTTAATGAGAATTAATGGTCTATGGTAGTTTATTCAAATCTTATGATTCTGTTTTGTTTTTTTTACAATTTATGTGATTATAAGAAATAAAAATGATTGTGGTTAAAAAAGTAATGGTTTGAATAGAGAAAATAATAGATTTTTTCTACTTATTTAAGAAATGTAAGTAAACGCTAATAAGTTTGTCAAATTAAAAATTAGGTAACTAACATAAGTAAAAACTTATTCTTTTTCAGTAGTTTAGAAAATCGTAGAGTTCGTACTTAGATTGGAGCAGCTATCAGCTTAGATTCGACTCACCTGAAAAAGGTAAGTTTGTTTCAGAGCAGTTGAATTTTTTATTTACTTAACTCATTATAATAACTATAATTTTACATACTTACATATGTCTTGATCTAGATTTTGCTTAGATACTTTGATCATTACTGGCAATAATGGCTTATTTTATGTTTCTTTACTGCATTTATGTTTATGCAGAGAAAAGAACAAAGGGGCATTAAAAGGCAAGTTTACAAAAAGACAATGATTTATATTATAAAAATCAATATACACAACATATTACAAGTTAAATGAAGTATATATTTTTACAACATATTTAAAAACAATGTCAGAACAAACATGATGAAAACAAGTATAAATTAATTTTAAGTTTGCATTAAATTTTGGTGAACTGTACATTAAATTCAATAAGCTCACTGGACGACAATATACGTACTTTTATACGAAAAAGGCTGTTAAATTTGCACTGCTTCGTTTGTAATATGTAATTGACTAGCAAATATAGATATTTGCAAAGCATTTTATATAAAATTTAATTTCATAAAAAACTTTTAAAAACGTCACATGGTCTTTTTTAGATGTAATAATATATTTTATTCACTTCATACAAAAAATGAAATAAGTTACATCTATCTGCACGATTTATATGGTTTGACGGCAATATGTAAATATAAAATAGTGGTTTGAGCACTTCTGTAGATAGTCGTGTTTAAAAATGTACAAACACTATATATAATCTTTAAATTGTAACATCAGTCAAAAGCTTAAAATATTTTTATATTTACAATATATACAGTATATTTTACACAAAAAATATTAGCTCTTTTGTCATTAGCTGCACTTTTTGGAAGCATCTTTTGAGTACAGAGTGAAATTACAGATCCAGAATTTGACATTTCATTTTTTAATATTTTTATATTATATTAATAACAGTTACAAAAATAAGCTGTTAAAAAGTTTAAACGTTTTTAGAAAAGCCATGTAATTCCAAATTGACTTCAAAAAACTCGTGTATAGAAATATATTTTATATACAAAATTGTATAAAATATGTTATATATTCTTTTTTTTATTAAAAACAATAGATTTTTTATGATTTTCAATTTGTTATTTGACCAAAATATCTAATGAGTTTAAAGGTGGCAATTGAATATGGCAGTAATGGATATAATCATACTTCGGTCAAACAATATCCGTATGTATCAGAATACATGCACGTGAAAATCAAACGGATATTTTTTGGTAATTATGCATTTAAAATTGCTTGTTATATCATGGCACTAGAGCTTGTTAAAATTTTAAAAACATAAACTGACAAAAACATTATTATTCTGAAAAAATTTGAATTCTCTTAATTAAATGCACTTTTCTCTCTCTTATTTGTGCACATTCTTTCTCCTTTGTTCTAAGCAACACTTAGTGTGAGTTGCGGAGGTAGATAAATATTATCAACACAATCTACAATGACAATACAAAAATATAAATAAATGTACAAAAATTACACATGGTTTTGTGCTCATACAGAAAAGTATCCCTCTCGTACAGGTACAGTTAGGTTTCACACATATGCCTCGACGTGCCTGCCTTTTATCCTATTGAAGAACACCTTCCAACTGTGCACCGTCTTCCCCGACCATATCCAAACGCTGGAAGTGATGCCCACTATCATCGTCATGAGGTATTTGATCATGAACACCTCAAACCTCGGGTGGCTCTTCATATGGACATCCCTGGGGCAGGGCATTGCATACTTGGATATCTCGCACATATCCTGGTTCCAAGTGGTCATCCAGTCTTCAAAGTACGTCTGTTCGTAGATGAGGCACGATATCACGATCAGAGCTGGTAGGGTGTAGAGGACGGAGAATACGCCTATCCTTATCATGAGTTTTTCGAGTTTGTCCGTCTTGGTGCCGTCGTGTTTCATCACCGTGCGTATTCTGAAGAGGGAGACGAAGCCCGAGGTTAGGAAGATGGTGCCGAAGACTAGGTAGACGATGAGGGGGATCAGGACGAAGACTCGCATCGCCTCCACGTTCCAGATGCCCACGTAGCAGACCCCGCTTAAGATGTCGCCTGAAATAGAAAAATAAATACATTAGAATTGGCATTACATATTTATATTCGTGCGGACATGAATTTGAGTTATGCTGTTAACACAGATTTATAATGCGTCAACGTTTCACATGAGATATCATCAATTTATTGGTGACCGATATACCACTCGATGAAATAATGATACAAAACAATATACAGGGTGATTATTACATTATAAAAAAATTCAGGTGGAGATTTTGTGCAAAGAATTAAGAAATAAAGTTCTTGTAAGCAAGTATCTGGAAAAGGGTCGTTTTCAAGATGTGAATTGTTGAAAGTAGAAAAAAAATTTACATTTTCTTAAACATATCTGAAGATGTTTCGTAGAATGATGAAACTGGGCTAATGACTTATTTAATTAAAAAAAGGTTAAAATTTGTTCAGATACAACTGTGTCAACCAGTAGTGGATATACAGGGCCTTTAATAACAAATTACCCTGGAAATTCAACACCAATGGGTAGGTATTTTAGATTTGATCATTGCCTGTAGCTCCTATAAATATTACTATGAAAGATCTGTTTTACTTTATTTGAAAAATGGACAATTTTCAAGTTATTATTATTTTAACTTAACCAAAATGACTGAGTATTTTTTTTATAAAATGTTCATAAGATTTTTTTCTACAAATATTATAATAGACATTCTGCCATTTCTTCAGAGCTATGCCCCTGCTACCTCTGACAGAATGAAATTTTCTATGCTAATGATACATAATTATAGGTATTGCAAGAAAAATCATACTTCTATAAAAAAAATTCTACGAAGTTTCTTGTAGGTCAAGTATCTCAAGAGGTATTTTGGGTTTATTAACATGATTGGAAACGGAAATTTGAATTAAAAACACATAACACATATACAGGGTGTCCCGAAATTATTGCAAAAAAATTTGGTCACAGATTTTTAAGACAAATTAAGGGGAACCGTATTTTTTATTTTTGCCAAGTGGACCCCTCTTTCGGAGTTACAGCCCCCTGAAATCCGTCCCTAAGAATAATCTTATTTTATATCTGAGAGCCCTGTTGTACAAGAACCACTAAATTTGGTACATAGGGTACATGGTACATGACATGTGGAATTTGATGGTGCTACGTTTTTTGGCGGGGAACCCCCTTAAGACAATTTTTCGTGGGCCTCCTTGTCTTTGGAGCCAAAAAAATTTGGTCGCATATTTAAATTTCTTAAAAATTATCGGTCCACTAGAAAGCCTTTAAATTTAGAAACTTTTTGCCCCTTTATACTTTTTTCGTAAAACGTAATGTTTTCGAGAAAAATGTCAAAATGTGATGGAATGCATATCGTGATTGACCATTTTCCTCAAAAACATTGCGTTTTATGAAACAAATTTAAAAGTTTCTAAATTCAATGGCTTTCTAGCTGACTAATAATTTAAAAAAAAAAATCAAATTTCCAACAAAATTTTTCTGGTTCCAAAGACAAGGAGGCCCACGACAAAGTGTCTTAAGGGGGCTTCTCGCCAAAAAGTGTAGCACTGTGAGATTCCACATGTCATAAAACCCCTGTGTACCAAATTTAGTGATTTTCATACAACATGGTTTTGAGATATAGCAGATTTCAGGGGGCTGCAACTCCGAAAGAGCGGGCCAGTTGGCAAAAAGAAAAAATACGGGTCCCCTAAATTTGTCTTAAGAATCTATGATCAAATTTTGTTGCATGAATTTCGGGACACCCTGTATATATTGAAGCGAATTTTTACTTTTAGTTCGATAAGTCATTAGTCGAAGTTTCATTTCTTAAACAGTGTTTTTATTTCTACCCTCTGTATATTGAAAATGAAGCATTTCCAGAGATGTTTATAGGAACTTTTTTCTTATTTTTTTGGGGAGGAATCCCCATCTGAATTTTTCCGGTATATTCGCAACAACAATAATGTTATCTGCATAGATTTTAATACAAATCACACGCATAATGACGACCAGTGGTAATATTTAAGTGAACTAAATGCAAATATTAGAAAAAAAATTATAATTTTCACTTAATCTTAAAGGTAATGGTGGCAAACCTAGTAATTCTGGCTGCCTAACATGTACATACATACTCCCTACTTTAACATTAACTGAAATTGAAATAAACATTTTTTTCATTAAAACTACCTCTTGAATTCCCTCATATAATATTTAAAATTATGTTTTACTTTTAAATATTTACAAAATATTTGGGGTTGTGATAAAGACCATGGTATCATATACAGGGTCGGAAAGTCTCCATGGTTCATCGGCCGTTACGTGAGAGCGATAAAGTAAGTCATAGAAATCCGTGCGATAGAGAAAGATGGCTATAATAAAAGCGTCTAATAGACACCGCCCATTTCGCCCTTCCACAAATAAGATCCACTTCTTATTTGTGGAAGGGCGAAGTGGGCGGTGACTATTAGACGCCTTCATTATAGCCATCTTTCTCTTTCGCACGGATTTTTATGACTTACTTTATCGCTCTCACGTAACGGCCGATGAACCATGGAGACTTTCCGACCCTGTATTTATAAATATATGGGTATAATTTTAACACCAAAAATATTTTTTTTTTAAATTTGTATTTGTAATCTCTTTATAGAATATATATTATTAAACAGATAATTATATTTATGTTCTCTAAAACAATGTAAATGAAGAATCCCATTTTTTTTTTAATTGAATAATGTGAGCGGATGGAATTCCCAAGTTCCATAGCTTACACAAACAAGCCTTATATTTTGGGAACAAAACAAGCATTTCAAGTCCATTTTTAGTATTTTTCTGAGGCTGGGGTACACGTAAAAGAAGATACATTGATTTTCAAGTTTATCTTCTCTGCCTAACTTCAAAGTTATAACCTTACAAATTATGAAATAATTTAAATATCATAGTAAACATAAGTAGGTACATGGTACATTATGATATTCAACCACAAGGAAAAACAGATATAGTTCAATCATCCTTGTCTATTCAAAGTCTATTATTGCAACTTCCGAATATAAGAATGCAGGTATTTGGTTCGATGAACATTTAAGATTTTCTGATCGTGTAAACTATTTGTGTCAGTCATCCTACATTCCTTTAAAGCAACTTTTCCTCATCGAAACGTAGTCTTGCACTGTTTCTAAGTTCTCTATAATATTTTCCTGCTGAACACACACACACACACACTAATTAATTCTAAAAAGATATTGAAGCTTCTATAGTATACCTACTAAGTTAAATTAATTGAATTAATCATATTTACATTCATTTACCACTATTTTTTTTGTTATTCATATATTTGTTATACAGACTTATATTATGGCGTTTTGCAATATAAATATAATTTTGTGACAGTTATTAAATTAAACTAACAACTATGCGCACGCCATTTACTGTCATTCACTAGAATTGACCGAAAACTCGGAATACCCATATGAGTAACTAAATAAGAGTGTTTATTTTCTTGTCTTTTATTGGAAGCATCACTTGCTCCAGACGCAACTGGCGCCATCTTACATCCGGCCTGTGAACAAATAGCAGCTGGAACACAAAACAGAAACTGCAGTGACCGTGCTAGCCGTCTATGGTTTGAGAATGTAGTTCAAAAACTATGCAATAGACGTCGCTTTATTACGCTGCACTTGGCGGCAAATTTAAATATACCATAATATTCAGAGTGCAACTTATATATGGAACAAAATTCATATTCATTGACTACAAAGCTTTGTAAAAAAATATCAGTTCTAATGTAAAAATTGACCAGATTTTTTTTACAAAATTATGTAGTCAATGACTTATGAATTTCATTTCATGTAAGTTACACACAATAATGGTATAAAAGATTGACTTTTTTAGTAGGTATATCCATTTAAGAGGCTATTATTGTTTTCACTTTTTAAACAATGACTAAAAAATGCATAAGCAGTTGTTTTTTAAATGCATGTACTTAAATTTATTCTGTTATAAATAGGAAAAGAAGATAATTACTAGTAATTAATAGTGATTACTGTGATACAAAATAGACATATACTTACCTTTCCCCTCTTTATGAAAAATATTGATAGATATATTTGTTTCAAACTATATTGGTTCTCATCAGTACGATGCATGTACTACTGATTATTATTTTCTGCGAAAATTTAAATACTGATAGTATGAGTAACAAATATCAGTAGAAACGTAGACATATGTATCTACCATTACTTAAAAAGAAACTTAATATTCATTAAAAAATCCAAAAATCCGTTTTTTGTTCTCTACTATTCGACATACAAGTGAAGTTTTGACAAAATGAAGTATTATGTGAAGTACTTACACAACCAGTATTTGAATCTACTTCATCCGGCACCTAGATAAATGATGATCCGGCATGGTATCGTTAACAGTAACAGTACTAGTACTTGCAGTGGTATTTAGAGGTGGCAATTTGAAATAAGTGTAATTTGGTTTTTTAAATGGTGGTTCTGGAAAATCATCTAACATTGATGTTTGGCATTTATTAATTTCGGCATTTTCTAATGTTTCACTAACAAACTGTTTAACTGACTCTAGAGTAGTTTTCAAATAAACGTTACTATTAAGAGAATCTAAATGTGATGATATACTATTTGATTCACTAAATATTGTTGGCACTACATTTTTGTTGAGGCTATTCTTCCTACTATTTCTAACATTTTTCGTTGATGAAGTTAAAATCTGGTTTACATTCTATCCAAATCATTTTCCTGTCTGCACTCTGCAGTAACTCTGAAAAAGCTGTTATTTCTGTAAGAAGTATCTGTGGTATATAAATAATATGTATTCTTGCAGTTTGGTGCACAACAGTAACTTGAGATCATTCCAGACATTTTCTATTAAAAAGTAAAACAAGCAAAAGCAGTAAGACAATTCAGATGAACGATACAACAATTATAATTATCTTCTTGCGTTATATTAAATTTTAGTCTAAAATAGAAAACAATTATTATCAAAAGCACGGTAACTTACGAGTTAATTAGTCATAATACAACCACTTTCTAAT